TCGGAATTGAAAATTGAATGGAAATTCCAACCTTAATTCGTAATTCCAACCTTAATTCCTTAGTAATCAATTCAATTTCAATTCGAATAAAGAAGGTCTTATTCCAACTGAAAATAATAATAGGAATTTGGAATAAACTCAATTATAAGAATTAGGAATAGGAATATCGAATTACGAATATTGGATTGATTATATGAATAAAGGTAGGGGAAAAATTTAGGAGAAAAAAGGTTGTGCCTTCAACAGAATGACATTGCCTTCAATTCTGGTGTATGAGGTTAATTTTCAATGATGCTTCACCCCAGTGATCGGAAATTTGAATGGAAGTCAGCTTTAATTCTTATATCAATAAAATTCAATGATCTTATCATCTGCAATATGAAGAGCTGTTATTCCAGCAATATCTTTCTCATTGAAATTTACACTATGAAAAAAAATTCAACTCTTTCTTTATTATAATTCCATGCTGCCTAATGAAGAGCAGTTCTTCCTTCTTCATCTTTTTCATTGATATTTGCACCATGGTGCAGAAGAAACTAAATTAATAATTCTTTATTATTTTGTGCTGCAGTATGAAGAGCAGTTCCTCCAAAGTGATCCCTTTGATTGATATTTGCTCCAAGGGAGAAAAATATATACAAAGTGATGGAATATCAAACATCACTGAAAAAGCAAAACTTTATGTTAATATTACAAGTTTGATCGGAATAGATAAAAATGATTCAAGATTATTATCAGGATTAGACTAAAAAATCATCCTTCATGATTAATATGATCATTTTAAATAAGGAACCTAATTAATCTGCTATTTTATTTAGTCAATTCCTTAATCCATTTCCTAATTCCATTTTGGAAATGAATATTCCTAATTCTTATAATTGAGTTTATTCCAAATTCCTATTATTATTTTCAGTTGGAATAAGACCTTCTTTATTCGAATTGAAATTGAATTGATTACTAAGGAATTAAGGTTGGAATTACGAATTAAGGTTGGAATTTCCATTCAATTTTCAATTCCGAGAAACTCAATTATTCCTAATTACAAAAGTAATCATAATTACATATGGACTTTATTCGAATTACAGTCGGTTAATCCAAATAAACTTTTTTATTCGAATAAGGTCCATTGATAATGTAAAGTAACGAATCCCTCAAAATTGAGAGGGTAATTCTCCCCTCTCAAATTAACGTACATTTTGGTGCACCCTTAATACCATGCGAATTAAGACTGTAGTTCCTTCCTCTCAATTTAAAAAATTCAATTATCTCCCCGAATATGAGTTATTAAGGCAATTATATTTGTATATGATATGATGTTGTTATATACTATTATAATCTATATTTGTTCATTATATATCTATATAAGAAACTTATTTTTGAAAATTGAATTTTTCAAAATGTACGACGAAACGTCGTTCTTAAATCAAAAATGCTGTATAAATTTATAGTATATACTTATGAGATTTGCACTATATCAGCAAAATGGAATTTAATAATGAATACATATCATTTTTAGATGAATATATAAAAAGCAAAAAATCACTTTTTAAGAAAAAATAAGCAAAATAACTTAGAGCAATATAATAGATTCGACATATATTTATAAGCTCTATTTGTTTACTATACGAATTCAAGATCAGGATAAAGTGGTGATAAAATGCAAAACTACATAATTGCTACCTGACAGTTTTTATTAGATCTACACAACAAATCAAAAAACTTTAGTCCACCTGTGTAATTTTTTTCTCATATAAGTCAAGTTTATTATAATACTATTTATTTGCTTGGAAACTTATCTCAGTTAAAGTTTTTAGAATCGCATGACATCTATACAAAATTCAATTTTTGGCGCCAATAACTCGATATCTATATCTAATAAATGTTATTTATTTATTGATATCAAAGTGACTTAATATGCCTCATTCATTTGTTTTATTACCTTCGAAATAAAATTACATTTCACAATTTGAGCATTCAAATTTTGATAAAATCAGTCAAAAGAAAAATTCATATCTCAACACTTGAATGAGAAATGTTAGTCCAGCTGTGTAATTTTTTAGGAATTTAATGTATATTCTATTGAACTTATTTGATTGCTTTGAAATACATCATACATTAAAAAATAAGATCTGCAAAAATGATTTTTTGTCAATTTTTTCATATTTTCTCAAAAATGATAAAGTGTCAAAAATTCCCTATATAGTGGATATATTAGCAAATAAATAATAATAAATATTCATTTCTTGGCTATATTAATATAATTCAGGCTTATTAGTTTTTTTAAAAACAAAAAATAGAAAAAAGAAAATAGAAAGGTGACATTTTTTGTGAAGACTCATTGAATTTACATTAAATTTGAAATGGGTAAGCCTAATTTGAGAACAAAACAATTGTCACATGCTAGAAATTCATGATTTTTCCATCCTTGGAGAAAAAATAATAGTTTAAACACACTATTATTTGTTTTTTCTATACTAGTTGAAGGATTATCATATAAAAGTACAGAAATATTATTTGCATGGAACAATATTGCATCTTCATCTCAAACAACATATTATAGATATCTTCATACACTCGAAAATGCAATATGTACGATGGCACAGCAAAATTGTGAAAAATATTGGAATTTAATTAGTGTAAAGAGTCATACTTATACATTTACAACTTAGATAACATATATTAAACAATATTTTTAGAAATTTAGGCAACAATCAAATTTTAATTTGAATAATCAGACAAAAAGATATAATTTGGAACTAAAATTTGTATATTTAGATTCAGCGTAGTATAAGTATTACAAACATATACAGCAATCATGTGGTACTACAGCCTTAAGAACCTCGGCTGTTTCTTTACTATTATGTTTTAATTCAAAACGAAGAGCTGTTTCTTCATATGTATCTTTTTCATTGATATATGCACCATGTGAAATAAGAAGTTCAATCGTTTCTTTACTAGTATTCAATGCTACTTTACGAAGAGCAGTTTCTCCATTTTTATCTTTTTCATTGATATTTACACCATGTGAAATAAGAAGTTCGACGATTTCTTTACTATTATATTCTGCTGCAATATGAAGAGCAGTTTTTCCATCTTTATCTTTTTCGTTGATATTTATACCATGTGAAATAAGAAGTTCTGCTATTTCTTTACTATTATGCAATGCTGCAATATGAAGAGCAGTTTTTCCATCTGAAAGTTTCTTATTGATATTTACACCTAATGAAAGGAAATATTCGCAAAGGGATGGAATATTGAACATCGGTGAAAAAACCAAGCAGCTGACTAAAAGATTAGTTTGATCGTAAAAAACTAAAAATGAATCAAGATTATTATATTTTCCGCAAGCAGATAAGTCGATACTTATGATATACTCATTCACTAAGAATGTTACAAAATCAATGTTATGTGAAATAATTGCATATTTCATGCATTTTTGATCTGGTTTTTGTTGTTTCAAACATTCGCTCATTATCTCTTGATTTCTTCCCAAAAATGAAAATGTTAGACATCTTTTTGTTATTTCTGAGTTAAATTTAGTTCTTAAGAACTTGAAACAATCAACTGCTCCATAGTAGCAACATAATTCAAGTAATGATAATTCATAATAAGAACATGGATCGAGCAATATAAATCTTTCTTCAGAATATGGATATAAACTACTTTTAAGTGTTTGATTTTCAGCAAATCCTTCTCTTTCAGTGAATGCAATGAATACTTCTAAGTCATTATTCATAATTGCTCTGTAAATTGTATTTTCTTTAAGAATGTCGAGATTTTCTGATTTAAATTTGTTGAAATTAGCAGACTTGTCTAATTTAATGCTATACTCTTTGTAAAACAAAAAGTTTGAAACAAGTTCAACATTACTGACATCTTTGACTTGATAATCATCTGATACGAGTTTGGCAAGAGATAAATATGACTTTGTATAGCGATTATTATACGGAACGATACCCAAAATATCTTTTATTATAATTTGGGGAAGACGCTTCTTTGAATCAATCAAATTCGTTTTGATCATTTTGTAAATCGAGTTTAAATCTTCTTCTTTTTCCGTTTTCAGCTGATACAAAGCATCGTATGAATCAATGTAGTATTTGTAGATACTTCGCAGTTTACTGTATTTGTTCGGATTACTGTCTTGATCAGACATTAAAAAAATTTAAGAAGTAAAATATTACGAAAGAGATCAATTAAAATGCAGTACACTATTTTCTTGCGGTATAATTGCTTTTCAGAGTCAAAAGATCCGAAATAATCAGATCAATTTTATGAAATTTTTGCCCATTTGTATGAGAGAAAATGAAAGGGGGGACTTATTTTTTAGACCAAAGAAGTGGCACCTGAGTATATTGTTTCTGCTTTATCTGATCATTGAAACGGAATTCATCCACGTTATTAGTATGAAAAAATCTTATTAGATAAATTTCATTTTGTAAGAAAAAAAAACAAGATTTTTGTTTGCCAATCACTCCAAATCAATTGATTCTACGAGTCTAGATCAAGGATCATACACAATTAATAATAATATTGTTTGTTTTCAAAAAAGAACTTTTAATGGGCCAAAAATTGAAAATTTTTAATTTCTCTGGTTTAAAGCCAGAATTTGGCCCATTAAAAGTGAAACTACTATGGTGTGTAAAAATGTCAAAGTTTCCCCTCTATATTTTTATTCGAAGAAAAACCTAAATGATTGTAATTTGAATGAAACCATTTTATTTTCCTCAAATGCCCTCAATGTACTTCTTGTTAAGACCTGTGTCGCTGTCAACTGTGTATCGTTCAACTGGAATCATCTTTCGGATTGGACGTTTTCCGAATTTCTGGAGATGATCGATTTCGTCCAAGACATGCTTGGATTCGTTGTCTGATGATTGAACAGGAACTTCAACGGCAACAAGCTGCTTCTCGTTAACAATATCTTCTTTGCCTATCTGTGAATTGAACTTCTTACGAGGAAAAACAATGACTTTCTGAACAATTCGTTTTTTGGCTAGTTACTTGCCGGTGAAAGATGAAATCTTTTCGCTAGCTTCTTCGTTCTTTTGTTGTTCGATAGCAGCTTCGTCATTTGATGCATTACTTTCGTGTGGAACTTTGGCAGCAACTAACTGTTTCTCTTCAACAACATCTTCTTTACCTGTTGATGGATTAAACTTCTTTTTAACAACAGTTATGAATTTGTGGACAACATGACGTCCTTTCATGCGTGGGAATCGCTTCTCTTCTTCAGTTGAAATCTTCTTGACTGGATTCATACGTTTCTTAACAACTGTGACGTATTTATGGACAATACCCCTTTTCGCGGCGTTTACGGGCCATTGGTTGTTCATCTGTTTCACCGTTCTGCATTGCATGTTTGTCTTCTAAATACTCCTTATGTTTATTCTTGTTAACAACTGTGATGAAACTGTGAACAATTTGCTTCTTAGAATTCTTCTTACGAAGGATCTTATTGCCTTAATTAGCGGTCAACGCATGAAATGATTTCATCACCAGTTTGCTTCGCTTCATGAAATTCTTTCTCTTTTTGCTTCTTTTCAATCATTTCCGCAATTTCTTCGAGCAGTTCCAAATTTTGATGACGGTTTCATTTTCTTTAATTCATCATCATCAGCATCATTATTTTATTAAGCATTTCCATCTTTAGCTGATTTCTTTTTATGAAGTTTCGATTTTTTGGTATCTTTAGAATTATTTTACGACGAAACTCCATCTATATCTGTAGTTGTTTTACGACGTGATTTCTTCGGCTTTAGTGGTGAATCTTTCGTTGAATTTCTGCAACCTGAAGTCTTTTTTTTTGAGGAGTCAAGTCATCTTCTGCGTCAGCTTCTGTTTTTCTTATGGAATATGACAAAGTATGATGGAATACTTTTATTTCCTATATGTTTGAAAAAAATATCCATCGTATGCCACAATCAATTGCATAGGGTCTTTAAATACATACAACAGTTACGTTGATGTATTCTTTAATATAAATTCGATGATATCAGATGAATAAAAATTTATCAATTTGTAAAAATGAAAATTTATACATCCTCATTCGCATAAATATATCACAAATGGTTTCAAAAGCATGGATGTTTCATCATTAGCTAAAATCAAAAATTTTCGTGATTTGAAAAAATAACGTGCGATTAGCAATCAATGATAATATTAATGAAGAATTATGATCTCTGATACTAAAGGAATGCAACCTCAGTAACAACGATATATATTTTTTCAGGTTTTACTATAATTTTACTCTCGGAAAAGTGACAAAATTTGTGTATTCTATTCAAAACTGTGTTGAATCTGATAATTGAAAACATTTAATAGATATACAATATTAATCGGTTTTGTAAAACCCCGAAATTTTTGAATACTGCCTTAAAAATCTGGTTAATTCAATGCTTCCACTCCTTACTGCCTTACTCATCTTTTCCTCTATAAAGCACAATGAAGCAGAGGAACAGAAAGCCCAACAGAAACTCCAAGAAAACCCCCAGCAACCTAAATTGGAACAATTTCCAAGAATGGGGCTTAATGCTAGCAATGAATCAAATTCTACGATCGAAAATCCAGGTTCTATCAATGTTACTGGTGATGGCTTCTTCAACGGTACAACCACATCAGAATCTTATTACTACACCCTCGTTAAAAATTCCACAAAAGATACAGCCGGCGATCCTTCCTATACAATTTTGGTTACAAAGAAGGTTCAAGTTTACTATCTCACCTATATTCAGAACTTCTCAGCAATTAAAAACACCCAAACACCAACCTCTCCATACAAATACGTTTTCTTGCACCCAGGTATTCTAGTTGGCGCGCTAGGTGGCATCTTGTTCATTATTGGTGCAATCTACACATGCTGCTTCAGAAAATCAGCCTCAATTAACTACGCTAATTACCTTAAGAACAACAGGGCCGAAAAGAGCTCAGATTCCATGGATAACCTCAACAAACCTACTAGAGCTCGTTCAGGAACTAAAAGAGGCCGAGAACCCGAGCCCAAATCCAAACCTTCTCAAAGACCTAAACCTTCAACGAAAGCGAAAGCCTCGAAGAAGCATAGACATTAATCCTATGTTTAGATTCAGTGGATTATATTTTATATTTTATTGTTTTTTCACTTTATTTTGGACAAACTTAAATAAAAGTTTGAAGTTTATTAATTTTGCTTTTTGACTTATCTCTCTTTCAGGAGGTATTAATATTGGCTTGTTTGTTTAAAGATCTGTCAAGAGACAACAATATTTCTGATGATTTGTGTTTTCATTATCTATGAGAATCAGATCAGCGAGAAGTTCGCTTGCTTGAAGTCTATCCGACTTTGAATTATTTTAACAATTATTTCGAATACTTTTTATTACAACATATTATTTTTAAAATAACTGATATTTGATAATGTGAAATTACTTTTCATTTGGAGGATATGTGAATGCTGTATATACAGCAAGCATTTATGAATTTATGGAAAAAAATATTGAAAACCTTGAATTTAAGAAGGTTAATACTGACTCAGTATAACTTTGATATGGTTAAAAACATTGTTGCTCTTAAACTCAGTTCATATTTTTATGAGTGAATCAGAGAGTAGTAGCGGTGAAGAAGTACAAAGCATTCTTGCGATTAATGTACCAAAGGAAGTGAATAAAAGATACTATAAATTGCTATGGGGGAATGGAGATGAAACTTGGGAGCCTGAAGAGAATTTAACGGGATGTGAAAAGCTCATAGAAGAATTCTTTAGGGATGTCCCGGAAGCTGTTGAAATATATAATGATTCCGTAACAAAAGAAGCTGCTGAAAATGGCTTAATACCAAAATTAAGAACAGTGCTAACAAAAACCAGAAAAAGACCTATGAGAAATCATTTAAGATTTACTAGAAGTACAAGAAATTCTACAAACTCTAGAGCTAAAAGTAAAAAAGTCAATACAAAAATCAAAATTACAAAAATAGTCGATACCCCAATAAAGAATCAATCTGAAAACAATGTCATTACTAATGCTTCGCCTAAAAATAAAGTAAAAGCAAATGAACCTCCTCCACCAAATTATCCTAAAAATAAATTCGAATCTGAAAGTGATTCAATTGATATTAATCTAGTAGAAGAACCTGAATCAAGTGGATCAAACATGGACAATAATACAAATAATTTTAAGGGAACTTTCGAAGAAAATTCTTCCTCATCTTCAGAATTACCATCAATACTTGCTATATATGATAGTCCTATCAAAGAAAATGAAACAAAGTTTGAAGAAGAAAAGAAATCAGAAAGAGAAAGTGATGATGACAGTCAAAATTCAACTTATAAATTTGATACTGAAAGCGAATCCGAAATTGATCAAGATGCGATCTTTGATTCAAGTTTATCGGGCTCGTTAAAGAAAGGAGAGTTATTTAAAGTTAATTGGGAAAATTGTTTCCCAAATCTCGATCGATTTTACGATAATGATAAGAATCTTAATGACTATGCTCAACTTAAGTCAAATTCAGCTTCTTTCCAAGTTTTAAGCGTTTCTTCGATTGATAAAATTTTTGGAGAAGACAGCTACGTTGTTTCCATAAAACTTGCAGATGTACCACAAGAAATGACGATTCCATTAGATCTTGCTCGCCACATTTGCCCAGAAAAAATTATTGATCTATTAGTTTCTTCAATTTAATGTAATTTGTTGTTATTTATAATAAAACTATTAATTAATGTTTGGTTGTAATAATTGAAAGTAAATTTTTCAATTTTATTTTGCAATCTTTAGCCAATGGATTGTAAACATAGTTATTTATTTATATAACAATTTTTATTATATCTATATTACTATCTAAGGCATTTTTCCTGAAAACGATAGTGTCATTTTAATTATTCAGTAGTATTTGTAAGTTGTTCGAGTTCAGCAAGCTCCTCTTTTAGTTTAGTAAGTTCGGAGTCCTCGAAATAGAACGAATTTTGAGCTGCATTTAATAATTCCGTTGCCAGTTCTGTTCTGGTGTTCAAATTCTTGATTCCTGAATTGCAAATCGAAACAATCATTGTAGAAAGTTGTGCTGGAAATTCAATTTTATATTTGTCGGAATGTTCAATGTAAACTCTTCTGAGTTCTTGTGCTTCAGCCTTAAGAGAGTCAGTAGTAGTTTTTGCTTCGTTCAGTCTCATCAAAAGTTGTTCTGCTTTAACAGCATCTCCTTTGGCTTTTGCAGCATTCATATTCGCTTTTATCTTGTTTTCGTTTTCTTTGGATGCTCTCATTTTTTTATCAACTGCTAAAGCGTTCTTTTGGAACCTTGTAAGTTCTTGAAGCTGTGTAAGAAAGATTTGGAGGTCATTAGGGGAAAACTCCATCTTTTCCTGCTCTTCCTTATAAGTTTCCAATATCTTTAGGTTAAATGGGAGTAAATCACTATTCCAAGGTTTCTGTTCTGCTGGCAAATTTTTAATATAAGTTACAAATGCCGTATTATACGCAGAATCCAGTGTTTTTAAGACTTTCGCATTAGTTGAGAGCAAGTCATTTACTGATGTAACCATATCATGGTATTCAGGATACTCGCGAAACTTATTTATTGAATGCATTTGTTTTAATAGAAAATAAAATTCTCAATTTTTTGAATGCAGAAACTCTTGTGTCAGCAGAGGTAATTCGACTCAAAAATTTTGCGGTTTTTGAGTTTTAAGACCTAAAATTATGAAAAATAGAATTGTCATATAGTATAATGCTTATATAACCCATGTTCATTTTCGTAAACTATTCAAAAATCAATCTGCCACCATCGAAAAATATTACTAGATTCATATTAATAAATACATATATCAAAATTGAGCTTTTTTTATTTCTGAGAAATTGTTCGTTATTTGACACGACCACGTTCTTACAAAAAAATATATAATTTTCTTTGTTTTCAATTTTTCGACTTAAATAAAGTGTTTCGAGCATTACAATATCGGTAGAACTGTTGTTATTATTATAGATTTTATCAATTTACCAGATTTAATGGATTTTTACCTAAATAAGAAATAATAATTTTTCCAATTCTTGCATTATAATTATTTAAAGCTAATGTCCTACTTTATTAATGATATTCACTGTATATCACCACTAATTCACAAGCACAATACTCAAACATGACTCAATTGTATAAGCATATTGCACATCAGATTAAATTCTATTTGAATAATTTCTTTTATATGCTTTGTCATATGCCATTGTGTATATTGTTTGTGTGAATGTAGGATAATTTCTAATCCAAATTGCAAATTAAAAAAATTTACAATTCTTTTCTGATTTATCATTTTAAATGATGTTAAATAACATTGTTCTCTTTAACAGATTATTGTTTAATTATTAAATCATCAAATTATAAAAAATAACGAATATACGTTATTTTGCAAAAAGTGCCAATCTCTAATGGAATAACAACTAGGAACTTGATCAACAATCACTCAAATAACAATTTTCCATATGAAAATTCAAAAAAATTACACAAATATTTATATGCAACGTACAGTTTTGTAATTACGAGCTTACATACGCCAATATAATCTTATCAATATTATTTTTACTTAAACAATCAAAACTCATACGACAATACACTTTTCAGAATAATACACCTCAAAAGAATATAGAATAAAAGAATTTTGTTAATTTTTTTTACAAAATGAAATTATTATTTTTACTTTGAGGAGTTTATTTAAGATAAATGCTTGTATTTTACGATTTAAGTTCATATTTTTAGAATTGGCGTGAGAATTGGCTTAATACTAAATTGTGAATCTTTCTATTGCGTATTAGGACATTTATTTAACGAAAATTCTAACGTTGAGAGCTTTAATAATTAGTGTGAAATATGACAAACTTCCAATATTACTTTCTTTTTGTATATGTGATGTAATATTTAAAGAAGAAATCACAGAGAGCAAGTAAAACTAATGTCAATTTATTACCTATCTATCATATATCTTCTACCATAACGTATGGGCTAATTTTATATGAGGACAAAACAAATTGTAATAATTGGAGTTTAATTCATGCAAAATTTTGCTAAATTGAATAGTATATGCATCAGATTCGTAAGGTAGTATTATTTTCTTAATATAAGCTCCCTAAGTCTATTCTATGGGTCACCTCAAGTCGAATGCCTTCTGTATCAGCTTTAAATGTAAATAGTTATATGATGAGTTTTGTTAGTTTAGTAGAATTACACACATTCCAAACATCTTAATTGCTGAGATTCGGAACCAGTTCTTCGAGTTTTTGATAATCGATAAAATAATTATGACTAAATGAATAAATTTTGATAGTCATCTACGTTTACCTGAAGTTTTTATTATATATTTTAAACTCACAGCAATCAAAATTAGGATATAAAATTATCCAATATAAAATTTTCAAATAAAGCTCTCGTTTTTATGTTTTCGAATGATTTTCATCCTGTACAGGTAAGTAAGTAGCAATTATTCAAAAGATAAAAGTAAAAAAATAATTTGATGAAATTAAAACAAGAAATATTAAAAATAATCTATTTATTTAATGGAATTTCATAACAATTTTACTGGTTTAGCTTCTTGAGAGCGATCTTTAACTTTGTATCGTTAATTTTGTTAATAAGATCTGTTTCTTGGTCAAACATAAGAACACGTTGCTGATCTATTGAATTCTTATGTAAGTATTCGTTCGTTCTATATGTATTAAGCTTTCTATCATATTCGATCTGTATTTGGTTGATTTTTTCTTCTAATTTCTTTATTCCGGCTGATCTATCATTTTTATCTCCATTTTCGTATTTAAACTTCATATTTGATCGATCAGGAGTCTTTGAAATTGAAGATTGATTATTTTCACCGTTTTCGCTTTTCTGCTTCAAGGCAGTAATCTTAGATAAAAGAGAATCAATTGTAAGTGCGCTATCATTATTCGCTTCTTGCTCAAATTGCGATAAATTCTCTTTTTTCCACTTCAAATACAAATTTCTTAAAATTCCGTATCTCTTTTGTAATGTCGAGACGTTAGTATCACTTTCTGCATTAGTACGTTTTAATTCTAGTAAAGCATTCTTGAAAGAATTTCTTTGATTCGTAAGATTTTGTTTTTCTTCTTGCCAGCCAATAATATTTGAATAATGACTCATTTGTTGTTCTCTACTCTCGTCCATTGCCTTGATTTCTTCGTCAAGATTGTTCTTTACTTCTTCTAATTCGTCAATTCTGATTCTGCATGATTCTATCTGCAATTTAACTGATTCAATCTCTTTATCTAACGATTCTGGTGATCTTTCTGTAGATAACGTCATTGCTTTCTTTTGAGTCATCGTTGAAATCTTTTTATCATTACTTCTCATATCTCGAGATATTGAAGAAATATCTCCTTCAATACTATGTATCTGTGATCTGATCATTTCGGCCTCGCTATTCATGGACTGCTGGGCACGTCTGCTTTGTTTAATTTTCAATTCCGTTAATTGTAATTTATTTTCCATTTCTGAGTTACTTGCTATCAAACCGTAGATCTCTTTCTCGAGACCTTGATTAAAATCTTTATTTTGATCGGCTTTTTTAGCTGTATCTTCGATTTTATTCTTTAAAGTTTTAATTAATTCTTGATGCTCTTCGTTATATTGTGAAATATCTACAACTGGTTTCTCTCTAACAATTTCGCCAACTGTATTTAATTTTTGCAACGAATTAACTATTCTCTCTTTTTTTAGATTGGATCGGAGCTCTTGAACCTTTATTTTTAGCTCAGCATTTTCTGCTTGGATGTTATCAACTTCTTTTTGTTTTTCGTCTATTGTTTCCATTAATATTTCAAGTTCTTCCCCTTTCTCCTCCATTTTTTATGTAAACTTTTGCATTTTTATATCTTAATATAAAGATCATTAATATATTGGATTCTTAAAGTTTTCCCATAAAATTTTCTAAATATTGCTCAATCTGTTTTCAATAAAATTATTGATTTGTTGATTTGGAAATAAGTATCAATGTGCATTGGACAACGTATATATAGTATGCAGATATATCAATTATCACTCCATTGCCCATTCATTGTCTGTATTCTAATTATGCTGGTTAAACAAATGCTTTAGCTTGATATAAAATATGTGTAAAATATATATCTAAATGGTGATGGAAAGATAATCATGTATAACATCTATATTGAAATCTGCTATTAAAGAAATGAAATCTTATTATTTTGTTATAAATCCAAAAATATGAGAGAATCAATCGTACCATGGTGACACAATATGAGTCTCATTAAGCTTTGAGCATCATTCAGCATGAAATTCAAATGATATTTTCGAAATTCAAAAAATAAAGAGAGAATATTTTTTCTAAATTTCATGAATAAACTCTATAATTTAATCTCTATAAACTCTATATAATTTCTATAAATCTATCAACGTCCAATCATCTTCACGTCTTAGCCAATCACCAGAGATGTCTAAACTAGCAGATACAGATCTAGTCATTTTCCCAAAGTTAGAAATATCTAATTCTAAGCTATCAGGGATTCCTCCTTCGTCTATTGGATGCATTTCCCATTCAGAATCGTCTAAAGTATTTAGTCTCTCTAGAGAGTATGAAAAGGATACTGATTTCATTATTTCAGGAGGCTTTTCTTGTATTTGAACATGTGGTTTTTCTTGAATTATTGATTGCACAAGTTGTTGCTGAGATATCTTCTTTATAGGTGGTGGTAATGGCATTTGATGTTGGGCAGATTTGTTATTTGCTACAGGCTCTGTATCTAAGTCATCTTCTGTGACTTCTGGTAATAAACTCACAGAAAACGATGAAAGATAGCAAAACTCTGTATGGTCGGATGCTCTTCTGACTGTCCATTGCCTTAATATGGCTGGCTCATTCATAAGAGGTTTAAGAATTGAAATAATACAATTACGTGCTTTTGCTTTAGTTCGTAGTGCTACATACCCCATTTGTTGAAAAGATCCATTGATTGATGATTTACATCGACCTAAGAAGGTTTTAAGTTGTCGAGTATTTACACAAATGAAAGGTCCTGCAAAACAAATTCCTGTTAGTATACATCTTTCTTCTCTATGTATTAAATCTCTGTCTAGGAACTTTAAAACTGCCATGAGTTCATTCGCAAAGGTTACCACTCTTCTATCTTTACCTGATGAACTGATATTTTGATGAAAATGGGCTTTTAATTTATTAAATTCGTTTTTATCTTCTTCTGTTAGCTTATTCCAGAAGGCGGGATGCAGTACGCACTCGTGCGTGCGGTGATTCGCCCGCATCGGCTGAAGCATTTTATAAATACAATCTTTACGGCTGTTTTTGAGAGTTTTGAGAGGATCGGTCATAGAGGACATCATTTCAATCTGGTGTAACCAATGAATAATATTCATGATATGTAATTAAAAAATATTTGTTCAAGTGGGAAATATTGAGCATTTGTGATAGATTTGGAGCAAAAATGTCAAAGTGCGAAATATTATCATAGGATTACATGTATGTTCCCATATATCAGGTTTCAGGGGAATTTCCCTTATTCTCAGTCCAAGATAGGACAATTGAAATTTGATTTCGACTTTATACTTCATATCTGCAATGATTAACTTCCTATAGAAGATTATAGGAGCGTCATACCTTTGAGAGATGACAATATCCATAATGATTCAAAAATTGCATTCAATTTAAGATCTATATCTGTCTGATCTAGCAAATTTGTCGAGTTATACCTGATGTGCAATAATAACATAATGAAACATTACAAAATCATATGGTTTGTCACTTTTTTCCTAAATTGTTTTAATTTTTTTTTGAATCGAAGATTTGGAAAATTTGAATAACCCCTTGTGAAGGAAAAATATCGAGAAGGACGATATGGGCAACTTGTTTACCATTCCATTTTCAAAGATGGTGAGAATCGCCAAGAGAAACCCGAGAATCATTTACATCAAACCACCAGTTGATGGAAATGTTAGTGGGTTAATCAAGTGTATTGGTTACAACGGCAATATCATTCACGAAGAAAATTTCGATTCATTCCCCGGACATCCTTTGCAAACTGCAATCCCGAATGGGATAAGCTTTCACGAAGCTGTGTTAAAAGTTTTAAGATTACAGTGGACTGGAAGTTCATCTCATGTTGAGCCTGCTAGAAACAATGCATCTTCAAAAGATTCCAAATCGAAGCATTCTTCTTTAGCTCAAATTCCAAAATCCAGTAACGAATCGCATACAAATGATGATTCACTTCAATATGAAGATTCAGAGATGAGTGATAATTCATATCTTTATAATACTGATGTTTTCTGATGTTTCCTTCAATATGATGTTTGTTGAAACTTAAATATCAGAGGTTTCTCAATATATTTCCTCATTTTTTTAACATCCAAAATATATTGAATTTTTAATCAGGAAGATGCACTTATACTCTTGATAGGAACATACTTCACGGGTGTATCTTGAACGAGAATTCCTAACTATCTGAATACCTCAAAAAGAAAAAAAGCATAGAAAGATATATTGTATATTATCGCGCATATGCCTAATGATAATACTACTCCAGACATGTAATGTGTGAATCTAATCATATGAGGAGTTACCGATTCAATTAGGGAATAAATGCTAGAAAGAATTGAAAATTCCTAATTCTAAGGAGCAAAAACCAAAAGAAACTGGAGGGAAGACCAAAATTTTTGTTACGGGCGTGACCAAGACCAAAATTTCACCAAAAGTGACGCTTTTTTGAGAAAAATCTTTATCTGGGATTTCTATGTATACCACTCATCAGAGCATACTCCATACTATCATACTTTATCTTGATGATGAAGTCTGAAGATTATATAAAAATTGATTATTGATTATTATATAAATATTATGCAATTCTTCAATATGTTGTATAGATTAGTACACTTATTGCAAATCTAGCTTGTATTAATGATTAAATTTATTCATTTAAGTATAATGTATTTCATTTCCACCAAAAATGCTTTTTTATTGTGTAATAGTATACAAATAGATAAATATTATATATTAAAACTCATTTATATTGTGATAACGCTTTAAATGCTTATAAATTGTATTGAATATCAAAGTTATGGAATGAAATAGTCTATTAGTTAAATTAGAACGGGAATAAATATACGTATAGTTAAGCATTAGATATTCTAATGTAATTATTCCAAAATGTCGCAATTACAAAAAAAAAATATTATTACCTAAAAAGTATTGTTTATTCAGCAAACAATGTAAAAATAAAATTATATTATAATTTTGGAAATAATAAGGGTATACATCCAAATTTAATAATCTTGCCTTTTTATATCAACGTAATCAAAGTATGATCTATGCAATTTGTATTTTACCTTTGTATTTAAATTGAAAAAACACATTTAAAATCGAATCTGTTCAATTTGAGTGATTTCTATAATATATTTATATGAATTCGAATTAAATGGAAATATAGTTCGTAGTTGCTAGTACTGGAAATTATAATTGCCTATAGATTTATTGTTCTTTGTGTTAATAAATTATTGAATTTGAAAAATAAATCGATTATTGTATAATATCTTGCGTCATTGATGATAAATCTCCATGTATGTTGAATTTCCGATGAAATTATTAGTTTAATCGAATGATATAAGATTCAAGGTTTGCGATTTTATATGATTTAAGGCTTCATTCAATGGGTTACAATAAAGAACATTCACCTTATTCAAAATTCCGTTTGAAAATCTATTATGTGCATGTTTGTTAAAATGTGTGATGTTCATTATAACAAACAACATAATCTTATGGAAATTTTCCCCGATAATTATGTTATTTATAGTTTAGATTTTCATATACTTTGTTATTTATGCTTAGTATCGTATCTAATACTGTGATATCACAAATTTTGATAATTGAATAGAGGAATTCCCAATTTGATAGTGAAAATGCAATAATATATTAATAAGGATTAAAATAAGACAGGCAAAAATCTCTAAAAATATTTGAATTTTTAAGATTTAATATGAAATTTGTTAAAATTTACATCAAATTGAAGAAAATAAAAAAAAATTGGAAAAATTACATCAGAGAATATACATTATTTTTAGTAATTCATTAGAATTGCTTTCAAATTCATCATAAATTCTGCATTATTAATATTGATAAAATAATACTTTGAATTTTAGTAGGGGGGCACACCAAAACATATAAGTATATGTTTTTCTAAATCTACATATGAGATCAAAATTTCATAAACTAGTTTTATATGGGCGCGTAAAGGGTTGGCGTCCTAAGGCGTCCTGATGTAAACTATTCAATTTTTGAGAAGTTTACACCATAATTGAATAGTTTATGGCGTCCTGAGAAGAGATTTCAATGGGTATGGCGTCCTAAAAATAGAAGAAAATGATTTTTTCTCGATTTTTCTAGAAATTGAATTTTTTAAAAAAGAAAAAAATCAAAACGTATACATTCAAGAAAGACTATAAATGAAGATTTTCTATTTTTTTTCATTCTAAAACATCTTTTTTTGGATAATTTTTTTTTAATAAATATGTAAGAAAGATTGAAGAAAAAGTAAATTTAATTTAAGAAAATTCGTTTTACATGATGTAAGACCCATAACAACTATAAATATTCAATTATTTAAAATAAAAAAAGAAAAACAGATTAAATGTATCTCACATCAAAATCCATTGACCTAAGGATGTTAAGTTTCTGTTTTTAAAAGTTGATATTTTTTTTTTAATTTTAAGAAAATTAATAGCATGTTATTAGACAATAGGAGTGTAATGATATTGACTAAACAGAAATGAGAGAATAGAGATATAATTTTGATAAGCAATATTGCGAACAAATTCTGAAGTAAAATCGCGATCAATAATTGAAAATTACGATCATGTACTGAAAAATGACGATCAAATTGAATGAATAGAATTATATCTAAGAAAAGTAGTAGGATAGGAAGGGTTGTGTGACTTTTTTTGTTACATCTATATATAGACGATGCATTAAAATATATTTATATACTAAACGCATTAAAAAATTAACATTAATTTAAAATAATTTTATTTTATCTTTTATAAAAGAAGCTATATATAGATGATGTCAGATATTCCGCGATTAATTAAACATTGTTTAAATCCTGAATGGAATCAATGGAGTCATAATCAAAGACCTCATAAACGAGTAAAAGATTCACTACCATAATGAAATAAAAAATAAACTTTAAAAATTCATGTCTTACAATTTTGAATAATTTATTTTTATTTTGTATGAAATGAGTGTCAAAACTAACGACGTGAAAACATCAGGATTCACAAATGAGGAAATAAAGGATATATTAGAGGAGGCGGGTTATGAAGTTAGTAAATATTATTTAAGAAATTGTCAAAAATTCGCGGAGTTTTTAAATGAGTTTGATTATGATGGAAAAATGAATAAAGATGATGTTATAAATTTCTTATATCCCACATCTAAAGAAGAAAAACCTAAAGAACCTGATGTTTTCCCTGAATATTATGAAGAACGGATTAAAGATGATGATGAATACGATGAATTTGAAAAACTGGAAAAAATAAGAGATGAAATAGATGAAAAATTAAGGAATTAAGAGAAGTTGAAAAATATAATGAAAATGAAGTAGAGGGTTTAATGAATATCCCAGCTTCAGAATCAGCAGTTCAGAAATCTCATGAAGAAAGAATAAAAATTATGTCTCAGAATCAAACACAAAATTTATTAGATGGTGAAATAGATGAAACACTTTCAGAAGAAGGTACTAAATTTATTTGTAAACATAAGTTACAATTTATTGATAATGAAGAATACCCTTGTATCCTACTTTCACCACCTTTAGATTCCGAAAAATTCAAAAAAGCTCTTAAAAACGTGACATATGCAACTAATACGATTAAGAAAGAAGATCATGATATTTACAAAAATTATTATTTAAATAAATGCACAGGTGTTGATAAAGTTTTTGATTTATTAGATAAAATATCAAAAGAAAACCATTGGAACCTATAAAATTTTGTGTGATTGTGGTTTCATTATTGAAGATACCAATAATGTTTCATATGAAAGAACAGCACCGAAGGAAGACGAAGTGGAAAGGTCTATACCATTCGTTATTAAGAACATAAAAGATATGAAACTTATAAACATTATATTTATTCATTTATTTCAGAAAAAATGGAAGCAACCCATAAAACATCTTCTCATCATTTTATAGCTATTCATACATTCCTTTTCAAAGTTGTGAAATTAAATAAGACAGGAATTAGATTTAATGTATCAGGGTACGCATTCTTGAGTAAATTAAAATGTATTCGTCACGTCGCAGATGATAAAAATTTATGTGTTCTTAATTCATTTTATGGGCTTTAAAAAATAAACTTTATTTTTAATTTTTTATTCTTACATAAATGAACAAAAACGGAACAGCTAAAATGAATGATAATCAAATTAGAGCAGAAGGTAGAAGGTTATTTAAACGCTTCTATAATTCCTGATGGTGTTAATCCTAAAACTCGTAGAAGTATTTAAAATGAAGCAATAGATTCATATGAAGGTTTGACATTTCATCAGAAAGTGAGAGATTAGCGAGAATGTTAAATGTTAATATTGATTTCTATTATTGTGATCCTCAACCAGAAGACGTGGACATAAATAAGGTAGACTTTCCATTAGTGGAATCAATAATGATAGATCCAGAATTTGAAACAGTAAATATTTTATTAACACAGAGTCCAAATGAAAACTTCACGCTGACAGAATAACGACGTTGAAGCACTCACCGGCTATAGAGTTTGTCCATATTGTAAAGAAGAAGTTTATTCTATCCGTGATGATCCAGAAAGGAAAAACCAAAGAAGATTTTTAAAGCATTGTGAGAAATGTAAAGAAAATAATGGAAGATTAATTCAAGACGTTCAGTTGCAAAAGACACAGCAACCATATGCACACATATTACGAAACAGAAGAATATCAGTGGTTATTAGCTCATAATTTGCAGGAATATTATCAACCGACAAGATATTATATTACTTTTGACTTCGAAACATTAGAGACTAAAGAAGAATTACACTTTCTGAGTGTGCAACTTTGAACGCTTACTTAAAACCATTCATGGTATCATCAACGGTTAAATTAAATGATAAAACATATACGAGGAATTTTTGCTTAACTTCGAGTGATTCTTTTATTTCTGATTGGATTGAGTTTTTATTTTCAACCTGTTCATTAGTTGCTAATCAAATATTGAACAATATGAAGAATAATGAAGTCGCAAACATTAAATGAAAAACAGAAGGAAGCATTTAAAGAACTTCTAGATGAGGAATTCAATAAAGTGAATATCATAGGTTTTAATTCGGGAAAGTTTGATTTAAATTTAATTCTTCGTGATTTAAACACTGCAAAATGGAAAATAAAATCAATGCTGGGTTCATCTTCACAATTTAAGCAAATCATTGTAAAGAAAACAAACGTTCCATATGAATTGAGATTTATTGACATCAGAAATTATATAGTGGGTGGGACATTAGACCAATTCACTCAAGATTTCGGAAACAATAAATCACGTGTTAATCCTTTTTCCCTTATCAATTCATCACGTGGGAAAATTACGAAAAGAAATTATATAAAGTGGAACCATTCACGAAAGATTCATTTTATTCAGCATTAACTCAAGAAACTATATCAGATAGTGATTATCAAATATATCTCAATGATGCTAAAAACTTTAAGAATAGATTAGAATATTTTTATTCATTATTGCAATAAAGATGTTGAAATTATGATTGACCCAATTGATAAAATTATTGAAGAAACATTTGTTTATAAAATTGACATGCTTCATAATCTTTCTTTATCATCGAATGCTTCAATGATTCGTTACGCTTTAGCATATAAAGACTTTAATCTAATGAAAAATATCCTGAGGAAGAGATAGAATCAAGTTTTGAATTAACGAAAAAGTATTGGAAATATAAAATTGAATCATATAAGAAACAAGATGAAAAAGCAGAAAGGGATACTAAAAATAATGTTTCAATGGATGATTTTCAATACTATCACGATTTAATCCTTTCATCTAAATGCAAAATGTGTGGTAAAGCGTTTACATATGCTAATAACCAACATTGGATAGAATCGATAATGAAAAACACATACCAAAGAAAATTGTCAGTTAATGTGTTGTTATTGCAATGTCGTAAAATCAAATAAAGATGAAGATGTTCAACGTTTAAGAATCAATTTAAGAAATTATGCATTAAAAAATAATTTACCAATGACTTTAGATTCAGTTGAAGCTTATCACATTCTCCGTAATGGAATTACTGGTGGTCTATCAAATGTTCAACATAGAGTAAATCTTAAAGGAATCACGCACATTAATAAACTTTCATATAGTCCAGAAACTAAAACTGTATCAAATGAGGACACCACCAACATTATGACTCATTTCGTTGGTGTTGATTTTAATTCATTATATCCTTCATCATTTTCATCTAATCCTCATGATTTCATTCAATATACTGACCATAAAATGTATATGCCGGGAAGATTGAATGGTGTTATCATTTGTGATACAGCAACAAAGAAAGCAAAAGCACTGGGAATAATTAAGAAGAAAAATACTTTATTCGTGGCTGAAGTAAAGGTCACATTGATGAAAAATACATTAATGATTACATAAACTTTTTACCGATAATAAGAAACTTAGATATTATCACAGATGAAAAAACAATTGGCAGTTTTATGTATAATTACATGAAATCAAACAATCTACCAGTTGACCAGAAACAGAGAAATTAACTCAGTTAGCATCAACACACAACCAATATCAACCATTTTCTTCTTATTATCTTTGGTATCTAATCGACAGATTTCATTTTATCATCGATGATATTCAATCAATTTTAACATTTACGAAAATACTTGTTTTATGAATTTGCGAACAAATTTATGAATGAAAGACAAAAGGCTGAATTAGAAGGAAATAAAGGAAAAAGTTTATTTTGCAAAATTTCACTTAATGGATCATATGGTTACGATGCAATGAATACACAAAATTACGCAAAGACTAAAATAATGAATGCACAGAAGGCACGCGTTGCATGTATGTCAAATAAGTTTAAAAACATAAGAGAAATAGAGAGGATACATATAAGTGAAGCTTAGATAGATTTTATAGATGTGATACGTGTTTACAAGAGGCATTCTTCACTTTAGATAATGCTAAATACTGGTATTTGGTTTTCATTTATGATTTTATGTATAAATGCATGGATGTTAATCGTTTTCATTTCATTGAAGGTGATACTGATTCATATTTGGCATCGCTGGCGACCCAAATCTTCCTAACACTCAAGCATTTCAAGCAATTGTTACGATAAACAATTTTATGATAAAAACATTTTCAAATTCGCACCTTTTGATTTCTTTTGTTTTGATGAGAAATTTAAACCTAAATTAAAGAATAAAGCTGAAGAAAAAGCACATGAGAAAAAATTATTGGGTTTAGCAATTGAGAAACAAGGTGATAACATGGTTGCTTTATGTCCTAAATGTATACATCATTCAACGGTTCAATTGATGGAAGTGATTTTAAAAAGATTGCACAAAAAATGAAAGGTGTTAGTTTACGACAAAAATAAGCAATTAACACCTAAAAAATATTTGGATATAATAAATGATAAAGTGATATTTGATGGTCAGAATATTAATTTACAACTTAAAAACGGGTCAATGACTCGCTTAACAATCGGTAAGACTGCATTAACAGGAGCACACACTAAGGCTGTATGTTGTGAAAATGGATGTTGTATGCCATTTATTTAATACAATTAAAATTTTATTCTTAATGAAATGCCACAGAAGAAGACAAAAGGAACCGTTAATGATGGTTTTGATACTATGATTCAAAGAGGTGGGCACCCTTAAACATTTATTTTATTTTTATATAAATGGATAACACAGATTTAAAAAAATTAATTGATGATTTAGTACTTAATCAAAATTTTCTTGATTATATGATTTAAAAGCATATCTCCAAAACATAATAACAATATAAATGGGTGATGATATGGAATATTATTATCCATATTATAAAAATGAAATTTTGAAAATATGATGAAAATAATTTCTAAAATTAAAGACAAATATAAAAATAATGAATATTCAAAGGGAAAAACTAAATCACAACTTAAACAGTTGAAAGATTTCAAAAAATGTAATTAACAGAAGAAGAATATTGATGAATTATATAAATTATATAATCCTGAGCCGCAAAAACCAAAGGAACAAAAACAAAAGATGCAAAACGCCCAGGTCCTTCAGACCATAAATGAAGCACAAGCTTTAATTTAATGATTCATTAGTTAAATCATATTCAGCCCGACTTTTAAATGAAGATCAACTTTTGGAAATCATCCTTCAACATAAACTCGAAGCGGGAAAGTATATCAACCTTTAATACAGCATATTTAAAACAAATGAATAGAATACATCCAGAATTAATGAAGGAAGGAATGAAGGAAGGAATGAAATCCAAAACTTCATCATCCAAAATCAAAGCAGATAAATTAAACCACTTGCAACACCAAAACCTCCAACGACAGTACGCCTCCTCCTTCAGTTAATCCTTCATCATTCACTTATTATATCCATTTCAAACATTAAAGAAGCAAAAAGATTTTAAAAAGGATTTCAAGATATTAAATAAACCAATTGACCCAAAATTCAACCGTTAAAAGGAAAAATTTAGTCGCCTTCATTTGCTCCATATCCATATTCATACGAAATCGATCATCTGGAATATTCAAAAGGAAACGTTACTTATTTATTTGCCATTAACATTAACACTAGATATTTATATTGCATTCCGGTGAAAGGGAAAACAGAACAGGAAACAAGAAGAGCTATACAATACTTACTAGATCATGAGAGTAGATAATATCAGGGTGATTGGTGATAAAGGATTTCAGGCAGCTATGGCTCATTATTTCCCACAAATTAATTTTTTCTTTTCATCCTCTCCATATACGTTTCATAATAAAATAGTTGATGCGGTAATGAGAACTCTTAGAGATGCGTTAGGGGTAACGGTCAGATATACTGGGATGGAAATCATGACTCCATCATACAAACAGTTTAGTATATTATTACAATAATACATGGCATAGAACAATAAACATGAAACCAGTGGAAATGAAAAATGATATTTCAAAAGAATGGGAATATATTAGAAAGCAAATGGAAAGGTTAAATGATGTTAAACGTGAACAAATTAATTCGGGCTCATGAATTTTAAACAAGGGGATAAAGTTTTGATTCATCTCGATTATGGAAAAACTGATAAATCAATGACAAAAGAAGACGAAGATTTGACACAATAGCTGAATTTGTTAGATATATTAACGGCAATGCATTAGTTGAAGTTGACAATAAATTAATAGAAATTCCAATTTATTTATTATTATTATATTTAAAATAATTTTAATTTTTTTATTTCGTAAGAAATGAGTGACAAAAAGCATCCAAGAGTCCAGACGATGAATATAAAAAGAAACTAAACAGAATTAAATCAAAAATATGCTATTACAAAAGAAGCCACAATGCGGTGGGTTGAAAACGATAAAGAAATAATCGAAAAATTAGAAACTTATCGTTCAATCATTAAACTGAGTGAAGCAAAAATAAAAGAATTTAATAGAATCAATAAATATATTGGAAGAGATGAATTTAATAAAGATGAATTTTTAAACTCAATCCAAATTTAATTTTTATTTTTCTTTGACAACATCTCTCTTTCCATCATTACTGCATAACCGCATTTTCTCAGTTTTAGTGGTTTGTTATTTTTAATTCGTTCTTGCATCATTTTTATCATTTCCTCCCTTGTTATGATTCGTGGTAAATTTTGAGCTTGTGGGGTATTCATTTAGATAAAAATAAAAATTTGTTATCAGTTATTTTATCGTTAAGTGACTCAAAGAGTCCGGAGACAAAGTCTCATGTTTTTAGGTTATTCAATAATTAATTATTTTTGAATAACTGAAGGTGTCACTACGTCACCATGTGTCACTCGGTTAATTAACTTCTCTGAAAAAATGAGACAACATGACATTTTGACAACAACACAGGAGGAAGGCACTTATGAAGCATTTTTGAAGAACTGAAGGTGTCACTACGTCACCATGTGTCACTCGGTTAATTAACTTCTCTGAAAAAATGAGACAACATGACATTTTGACAACACAGCAGGATTAATGCAAAAATAAATTCAAATCATACTTTATAAAGCTTCATTTACAGGTATTTCATCGTCAGTAAATGAATCTTCATTATCGTTTGGTTCAACCTGTTTATATAATCCTTTCATTTCTTCTTTCAAAACATAACACCATGTTTGTTTACCATCTATTCTTCTCTGTTTCTTATCACATTTATCCTTAATGCTCATTTGGAAATTCTTGTCTTTCATGTCTGATGGTTTGCAGAATAGAGCATTTTCACACGTCATCTTTGACCGAACGAATGAGTCTCAATTGTTTGTTATATTGTATGTATTCGTATTCTTCATTTATGGCTTCATGAACGATAGCAGTTGTTGTGTTCTCTGATGTTGACATTACTGTCATTTCATACAAAATAAAAATAACTTTAAAACTAACTTTATTTTTTCTGACTTTCACAAAAGACCAAAAATAAACGCTTTACATGTATTTTTCAGCAACTTCGTCAAATAATTTTATAGCTTTATCTATCTCATCTACTTCAAACGTTTCTTTACCTTTCATGGGAGCACCATACCTTTTCTCAAAAACTTCAAGCAGTTCTGTTTCAGCAGCTCTCATATCATTAACGAACACAACCTTGACTCTATTGACTGTACTGTCATATCTTTGAGTTATATTATATGTTCTTCCTATCTTATATCTCTTTGTATTGAAGTCCTTCGGTTTCTGAACGATGTAAAGTAAGCCTTCACTGCAACGTTCTGAGTCGAATGAACCATAAGTTATGAAGTTATATCCAACAACTGGGTCTAACCATAAAAAAATTGGTATAAGACTTTTGTCAATGAGATATGCTCTTGTTCCATGAAATGCTACTGATATCATAAGCTCAGGATTTCTTGTCAAAATTTTCTGAGTTGAAGCATTTCTAACCCAGTCGCTTGTTTTCTTTTCAGATGGAGATATAATGTCTGACAAAGAATATTTGTTGTATTTCTTTGAGTATCTTACGTTTAAATCACCTATTCTAACCACTTTGGTGTCATTGTCTATCTTTCTAACTGTTTCAAACTCAATGTTTGACATTACTGTCTTTACATACAAGATAAAAATTTTTCTTAGAAAAAATTAGCGTTATTTTTCTAACTAATGAAATTCATTATTTTTGTTGCTGAATTTAATAAAAAGATATTTTAGGTGAAGAGGTGAGATCTAACCTGTTTTCTCACCTAATTTTTCACCCCAGTTATTTTACAAACGTTTAACGTGATATACGTTATTTTTTAAATTTTGTGAAAACTCAACGGTTTGACACATGCCCTAAAAATTATTTTACTCAGAATTTTGTTGCTGAATTTAATAAAAAGATATTTTAGGTGAAGAGGTGAGATTTCACCAGTTTTCTCACCTAATTTTTCACCCCAGTTATTTTATAAGCGTTTTACATGAATTGTACGATGTATATTTGAAATTCTAAACAATTTCGTAGCTTCTATTTCTTCTGTCAGTATGTCAAAAGTTTTAACAATGCCGAAAGTTTCTTTATACTTCTTCTTGACGTCAGATAGAAGGAAATCGTCAGCTGTTGGATAGTTTTTGTTCAGAAATGCTAACATGTCCATTTTATCTTCTGCTGGTTTCTCTACTTCTTTCTTTAAGTCAGCATAGTCGTTTCTCATACGTTCTATCTCTTTTAGTGAGTAGTTATATTTCCTCATTGCTGCTTTACATTTTGAACATTGCGGATTCATTTTTGCGTTATACATTGAAACATTACCAGCTAAAATAACTAAAGCATCAATGGCTTTCTTTAAATCTGAAGCAGTTGGTTTTATCTGTTTGTTCCATACTTTGCCTCTTCTGTCTTTATCTCTTATTTGCCACACACATTCAGCAGCTAATGAAACAAAGTTATCGTAAGTCTTAAACTCCTCAGATTTATATATGTCAGAAATGTTTTTATAAACCATGTCGCAATCTTTGTTCATAACTTTATGGTTGCAATGAAAACCAAGGAATTCATAATTTACTTTACGTATGAACTTCTTTATTTCTACTGAATCAGTAACTTTAACTTCAATTTCATCGAATTCAGGAATAGTTAGTTTTTGTTGCTGAACTTCCGGTAATTTAGGCAAATGGTCAATAATGTCCTGCATTTCATATAGCTCCTCTCCATTTGTTTCATCTTTCGCACTACAGTCTAAATTACTTGTTAAAAGTTCTTGCTTTATTCTTTGTATTTCTGTTTCAAAAGTATATGAAGAAGGAATGAAGTTTTTCATCTCTACCAACATTGACGTAGGATTCATGATTAATGAATTTGGTGCTGTAGTTGTGGACAGAGTCCCGCCGTTCGTGGCTTGAATTGTTGTTGTGCCGATTGTTGAAATCATATCTTTTATACAAAATAAAAAAATAAAAATAAAACTAACTTTATTTTTTCTATCTTAAGGAAATTCATGAAAATTCACGAGAAAGCAAAAGCAATCTGAGCCGCTAAGCGGTGAGGGTGAGAAAACTGGTGAGAAAACTGGTGAAATCTCACCTAAACATTATTTTTGGGTCATTTACACTCATTACGATGAAGAAGTCATGACAAAACATATACGTAAACATTTATTTCCTGTGTTGTTGTCTAAATGTCATGTTGTCTCATTTTTTCAGAGAAGTTAAATAACCTGGTGACCTGGTGACCTGGTGACACCTTCAGTTCTTCAAAAATAATTAATTATTGAATAACCTAAAAACCATCTACCCTAAACATTATTTTTGGGTCATTTATGCTCATTACGTTCATGTTTGACAAAGCATATACGAAGAAATCATGACAAAACATTTACGATGAAGTCATGACAAAGCATATACGATGAAATCATCATGACAAAACATTTACGATGAAATCATCATGACAAAACATTTACGAAGAAATCATGACAAATCATTTACGATGAAGTCATGACAAATCATATACGTTCATGTTTGACAAAGCATATACGATGAAGTCATGACAAAGCATATACGTTCATGTTTGACAAAGCATATACGATGAAGTCATGACAAAACATTTACGTTCATGTTTGACAAAGCATATACGAAGAAATCATGAAAATTCAACAGGGTGAAAAAAGAGGTGAAAAATTAGGTGAAATCTCACCTCTTCACCTAAACATTATTTTTGGGTCATTTACACTCATTACGAAGAAGTTTTGACAAAACATTTACGATGAAACCTTGACAAAACATTTACGATGAAACCTTGACAAAACATTTACGATGAAATCATGACAAAACATTAACGTAAACATATATTTCCTGTGTTCTTGTCTAAATGTCATGTTGTCTCATTTTTTCAGAGAAGTTAAATAACCTGGTAGCACATGGTGACGTAGTGACACCTTCAGTTCTTCAAAAATGCTTCATAAGTGCCTTCCTCCTGTGTTGTTGTCAAAATGTCATGTTGTCTCATTTTTTCAGAGAAGTTAATTAACCGAGTGACACATGGTGACGTAGTGACACCTTCAGTTATTCAAAAATAATTAATTATTGAATAACCTGAAACCATTAACGTAAACATTAACGATAAAATTCATTTCCGCAGTTCATTACCTAATTAATTACAGACATAAAATATATTTAGTTCATTCGGTAAGCCTAAACCCTTTGGGTCAAGTCTCAAGCACATTCAATGAATGCGGTAAGCCTGCAAAGTAGGCTCAAGTGTGTTTATTGAACACGGTACCATGCGAATACAGTCACAAATGGTGGCATATAATCTTTACCCAAGCCTGTTGGATTTGTTGTGAAAGTATGGACATGATTTCCTCCTGGTTCAGTTGGTCGAAAAGTCTTTTTTGCTGAATGGTTATAATCTGGAGATAAAACGTCATGGCCAGCTTCATATTCTGAGTTGTATAATGGGTGGTCTCTTAATGAGTGGATATGGTCGCCAGAAAAGTTTGTAGTTCCTGTATGAGTGTGTGGGGGTAAGTTTGCTTCTTTAATTTTCTTCGAACCTCCTGTTTGCTTTGAATATCTAGCACAGTATAAGAATTTATCTACAATCTGCTTCCACATACCAAAACCTAAAACTGTTGCTGGATTTGTTGAATTCATTGACGTATAAATAGAACCAACAGGATATAATGTTTGAAGTATTTCATTTTTCATGCTTGTAATCACATCATTTACTTCCGACTTCTTTGCATAATTTTCATCAACATATGTTTTATCCGCCTTAAGGTCTAAACATCCTGAAACCCATTCTGTATCAGCTTTAACTTTAAAAGTCTCAAATGTCCATTCATGATACCATTCAACCTTTTCTTTAATTTCATTATCTTTTTCATCAACATAAACCAAATTTGCCTTCTTATTTAATTCACTATTAACGTATTCCTTATCCGCCTTCTTCATTATGTCGTTTAGGAAACCTTCTATGAATTCCTCATTTAAATTAAATCTTCCAATCTTCAAAACTTTAGGAAATGCATTTAATGCGTAATATCTCTGTTCTTCTGGTGGAATTGATGTTATATCATCCGTTATTCCTTTAATTTTTGAATTCATAAATAAAATTTCTTTTATATTTGATATCACTGCACCACCTTTGCAAACGAATTCGAAATGTTCATTTTTCAATACTATCTCCAAATCTCCATATTTCAACCTTTGCGTTTGTTCTGCCGTCTTTGAATTATATGCATATATGGCGTATGTAATGGTCTGAAGGACCTGGGTGCTTTGCGCCTTAAGTTGTTGTGGTTTAATCATTTATTATGATTTAAAAATAAATATTTAATCCGTTATCTCATCAGCTATTTTTTCTATTTGAAATTGCCATAATATTTCATTCATGAATTCTAAATCACAATCAAATAGGTAAGTTATTCTAAATTTAATATTTGATAAATCTTTTGAATGAAGAATAAATGAATTCCCGGATAATTGAAACGGATATGATAAAGAAAATGTGTTTAAGTTGATGGATAAAATGTTTTGTATTGATGGGTAAGAGTTAGGGTCTAATGTTTGATGTGAAAATCTCATTGGGGTATTAACTTTATCACATTTGATTAAAATGAAATTGGAACCAGTGTCAGAATACAAAACATCCCCAACATCTTTTTCAAAATTTAATATCCCCAACAATGAACGAAGATGAGGAGTACAAAATTTAATTTTCAGCGGGAATTTAATAAGGTTATTTATTTCATCAAGTTCAAAAAGTTTATCGGTTTTGATTTAAAATTTTCTTCATACCATACGATAAATGATTCATTTAAATAACTTAAAATCATGTTAATATCCCATTTCGCTATCACATTATTTATATACATATTATACGTTTTTTCAAGGTCATCTTTAATAAATGATATATAATCTGAAGGGTCTAAAAGAATGGGATTAAATTTACCACTCACAGAAACGAGAGTAACATTATAAATTCCGCTAACTGTTAAATTTAATTCACAACTATTATTCGAAATAATATTGATAATTGACATTTTTATTACGATTAAAAATATGGTAAAGCGTTATTTTCCAGTGATAAATAAAACTAGAATAAGATTACCTCAAGAATTCATAAATTCAACGAATAAGAAATTCATTCATGTTATAAATTTTAGTGTTTTCAGAAAATATGAGTCAATGTCATATTCATCAACAGGTTATATTTCACTTCATTCAAATTTAGTTCAATCAAACCCATATAATGACCATTTCATAAGATTTTCAGATGGTATTAAAAATGTAATTGATAGATTAAAATATGAACAGATTGACAATATCGAATTTTTGGAATTTTGGTTTAAATATCCCGATGGAAAAAAGATTGAAGTTAAAGATAAAGCTGATACTATAACAAAAACAATTACAATGACCGATCCAGATAGTGGGGAACAAAAAGAAATAAAACAAACGATAGAAACTGGTGAAAGGTCAATTATTATTGATTATGATTCAAAGGATTATTATTCGATAATGTTAATGCTTGAATATTAAATAGCCTTAACAAAGAATTTTTCAAGTGATATTTTATATTCATCAACTATTTTATTATAAATATCATTATATGTTAAATGAAGTTCAGTTGTTGTTCCATTCTTTGATATATTAATTGTGCTAATATCCTTTATAGGATTTATTTTTGCAACTGTTCCGCAGCATGAAACCTCATCATCTATGAAAAATTGAATCTTAACGTCTGAATCTTGAACATCACAAAGAATGGCGATAATGTGAATTAATGATTCATAAGGTAAAATAATTAAACCGGATTGATCAATTAAATTTATTATTGAATCATAATTATTAATTATTATATCACGGTAAATTTTCATTAATTCAGAATTAATGTCTATTTTATATGGGTTCTCGATGTTTGATGAAAGAGGCGGGGGGTATGTTGGATAAGTGGGAATTTCAACAGGTTCTTTACCAGGTTCAGATAAAATGATTGGGTCTCCATTCTCATAGTTTTCTTCATTCTCCTCATTCTTCGGTAAGTCACGAGTTAATAAATTTGGTTGAGTTGCTGACCTTGTTAATTCGGGGCTAACATTAACTTTAACATTTTGAATAATTCGTGATTTATCATCATTTACGTTATAACCAACCGTAATCTCTGCTTTTGCGTTAGTGTTCTTTTGACTAGTGAAACGTCTTCTCATTTATATTCGAATAAAAAAAATATATTTAAACTTTTATTTTGCTGGAACTTTTGAATCTATTATTCCCTGTATTTGTTCATGAAGTTGATTTTTAGCATTTTCATCGAAATTAATAGACCGAATATATTCATTAATTGCATTCTTATAATCATCTGATTTCTCAAATTTTCTTTTATCTGATTCCTTAACTAAATCATAAGTTAAACCACGTTGCTGATATAATGGTTTCTTAATTAAATCTTTGAATGCTTGAGATAAAGCACCTGATGCAATTCTTGCTACTATAATTGGTTGGAATTGCTGTTTAAGTTCATCTTTAACATTTGCGAAAACTGGATCGAATAAAGCAACTTTAAAGAATTTCTTAGCTGAAATTTCAGGTCTAATATTTGCATATTGACCATCAAACTGGTTAGAATATCGTGGTAATCCATCCGGTCCCTCTTCAATAGCATTTAATTCTTCATTGAAATAAGAATATGGATTATAACGGTATGAATTAATTGGACCATTTTCACCTTCTCCAATGTATTGTTTAACAGCTTTTCCATTTTCATCAAATTGCATAGGATAACGTTCATTATATACTTTACGTTTAGGATAATCAGACATAGTTAATTTATAACCATTTATGACTTTAATATTTCCTTGACCATCAGTAACGAAAACTTCATTTATACCATCAGGTTTTCCATTTGGACCCGTAATGTCTGCTTCGTGTGCTTCCCAATTTGGACCATGACGTTTGGCATATGCTTGAGCTTCTGGTAATGTTAAAACGTTTCTCATTTGTTTAACATCCTTTTGAAGACCGGCAACAATATGAACTAATTCTTTCATTCCATCAGGAACTTTCATAGTTCTATTATATGCACCCTTTTTGTTTGTTCCTTGTTTTAATGGAACCTGTAGAAGATTTGCTATTTCTGTCATGTTTAATTATAAATAAAAAATAAAAATTAATCATAAAAAGTTAATCAAATTTAACACCTCCTTTATTTAAATCAACTATTATTTTCCCATGTTCACCTAATTGCTGATATTGTGTGTAAAGTTCATTAATGCTCATTGGTAAATTCACTTGATAAAGCATAACGTTCAACTGTTGACGACTAAACCCACTGAAAATGAAAAGGGTTGATAGATTTGATTTAATGTTTGTGCTTAATGCTTTGAAGTATTGAACAGCCATGAAGAATGAACACTGAATGTGTCGACATTGAGTTAATAATTGATTAAAATATGATTTCTCATTTGTTATTAGTTTTGATTTCACCGCATCATCTAGAAAAATGAGTGAATGCAAAAATTCTCTATCAAAATTTGAAATAGAAAGTGTTTCAAATAATTCATCCCGTTGTTTATCAATAATTTTATCCTCTAATCCTTGCTTCTTGATTGTATTATATAATTCTTTATACATTAAAAAGTTTTTTAAATAATCTTCTGCTTCTTCTTGTGATAAATAAATAATTGGAATTTTGATTAAATGCTTTAAAGATTCAAATGTATCATCTGAAGGTGAACCTGAACGGTTGATATAAATTAACACATGTGAATAGGGTGAAGTGTTAGCAATAATGATAATTTGTTTTAATATCGTTAATGTTTTACCTTTATTTTGTTTACCAATTGCTGCAGTGATTGAATTTAAGTAACATTCAGAATATGGAATTTTCATTAATTTTTCCTTAGATAGAGCATTTCTATTATCACTCAATGCTTCATTAATCATATCATCTATGTATGTATTATATACTCCTGCTAATTCTTCATAAGGAGTGGATGAATTTAAATCCATTTAATCAAAAATAAATTTATAATTTTAAACATTTCTATTCATCAATATTTCATCATATGAACTTCTATACTGTGGTGGTGTACCTGTTGGATGATATTTCAAACCTTCATCCGGTGTCCATGTCCAATATGTAGTCCTAGTAAACCAAACCTGAGGAGGATTTGTCACCTTTGAACAGTAAGTGTCATTTTCACCCTGAATGATTGGATAAGCTTTCACTTGTACTGTAACTTGTGAATTGAAAGTTTCTAATCCATCAAAGAATATACCCGCTCCATCACGTTGAACTGGAATAGTGCATAAGAATGAAGTTTGGTCTTTCCATGTTCTAGCTAATGGCGTGCCATCATCTGCATTCAGTGGTCTAGTTAATGAGTCCTCGTATTCTTCTGTGCATTCATTCACTCCATCTAAATCAGAAGCTTGAAGCATACGTGTAAAGAATATGTCACCCACTGTGGTCATCGCTTGATCGGGGAAGTTTCTGGAATCTATAGTGACCTGAAGACCTCGAAGCATTGGATTTTCTAAAACTGTTCTTTGCATTGCATTCTTCGGAAATGCTAACACAACATCTGTAACATTATGAAGAGCGTATGAGAAATCTGAGCTGATACCTTCAGGAGTGATGCAACCTCCATTTAGTGAACGAACGTCAATATGTTGAGCTGGAATCATGAATGGATCTTCCTTACTGAATAAACGTGGTATTGCTTTAACTGATTCTTCAATTAAACCGTATCCTGGTGTAATGCATTTATCCTCTAAAACTTCCATCTTTGTGCATGAAATAATAACGTTATCAACTGTTGCTTCAGCAGATGTAGCGGCTAAGCTTGTAATTAATTTGGCAGGAAGTCCGATTTGTTGGAATTTGCGATCATATTTATAAACATGATTCATAATCTTTTCATAATTTTCATCAGTTATCTTTTCATAAACGTAATTTTGTAAATCAGCAACTCTTAACGGGTCAACCTGACAAAATACTAAAGTATCCCTGAAAACATAATATTTAAGAATGATTTCACCAAATGATTTAGGATAATCATCGAACGCCTGAAATGCTAACAAATCATTTACCGGAATAATCATATCAAAAGTGATATCAACTTCTTCATTTGCGTTCTTGAAAACTTCTGAAGGGTCAATATATTTACCACATACTGAGTTATCATATTTTTGAACATTATTATATAACGAATGAACAAACTTTTTAACTTTCCTTTCTGATTTTGGTTTATATGTTGCAAATGCGAAAGATTCACGGGCGCAATCCATCTGAAGATAACCAGCATCACCTCTTTCGGTTTCTACTTCTAATTGTTTAAAGCTTTGATTTGATGATTTGTAACCAACGAATAAACGCATGCATTTAAAAGCGGCATCACATGTGAAAGCTTTATTTGAAACTAGAGTTGCTTTAACTTTACGTTTAATATATGTGTCACCTAATTGGTTCACATCATGAGCCGGATTTGTAATTCTTAAATGAGTTTGTTTATCATCAAAATATGGAGCATCAGAGTCATAGCATGAACTTTCAAGTTCTCTATAATATCTTCTACCGTCATTCTTTGCGAATATTTCATTTATCTTTTCGAATGAATGAAACACATTTCCATTAATCGGTTTAGTGTTTGGCATTAAATAGTTAGTCGTCATTTATTATTAAATAAAAAATCAAAATTAAAAGATGAAAATGAATTTTTAATTTTAATGAAATAATCAACTATGGCTGCAGGTATATTTAAGAAACTGTGGGATAAAGTAAAAAGAGGAGCGCATAAAGTTTGGGAAACATTGAAGAAGGGAGCAAATTGGATATTTAAGAATAAAGAAGCAATTAGTGACGTTGCTGAATCAATAACACCAAAAGCTGCCCCAATAAGAGAAATATTAAATAAAGGAGAAAAAGTTTATCAAAGACTTCAACCGATACTAAGATAAAAATAATTTATTTTTCCACTATCTACCTCCTATTTTATTAAGTATTCCTTCAGCAATTCCACCAACTGCGTTACCTGCTTGTGCTCCCATCGCCGGATTACCTGCTTTAGTACCTAATACTCCACCTATGATAGTTCCTGCCGTTTTCGCTACTGGTGCCAAAAAGTTTGCAATGGGTTTAATAATCTTTTTATAAACCCAACCCGCAGCTTTCTTAATTCCATCCCATAATTTTTTAAAGAATCCTGCCGCCATTTCTGATTTAATATTAATTAAAAAATATATTTCATCACCTATATTCTAATTTTTATTTAATGATAAATGAAACCAATTTTAAAAATAAATGAAACAGAGGAGGAAATTAATGAAAATGTTCAACAAAAAATAAACATTGTTAAACCAATTACTGAAATAAAAATTTTTTCATCTGTTGAAGAATTTAATGACTATTATGCTAACAATAAAAAATTATTTGAAGAATTGACAACATGTAAATTGAATAAAATGTTTAAAGTTGATGGATTCAAAATTTCAAAAATAAAAGGAGTGATTAGTTTGAAATCTATTCCTCAATCAAGAATCACCGCATTAATGAAAATTGATGATTTAACAAAAAGAATAGAAGAGATTGAAGAAAGAATAAATCAAATAATTGATTTCATAAATTCAAATAATCATTAATTTTTTAAATAATATATCCTTTATTTCCTCATTTGTGAATCCTGATGTTTTCACGTCGTTAGTTTTGACACTCATTTCATACAAAATAAAAATAAATTATTCAAAATTGTAAGACATGAATTTTTAAAGTTTATTTTTTATTTCATTATGGTAGTGAATCTTTTACTCGTTTATGAGGTCTTTGATTATGACTCCATTGATTCCATTCAGGATTTAAACAATGTTTAATTAATCGCGGAATATCTGACATCATCTATATATAGCTTCTTTTATAAAAGATAAAATAAATTATTTTAAAATTAATGTTAATTTTTTAATGCGTTTAGTATATAAATATATTTTAATGCATCGTCTATATATAGATGTAACAAAAAAAGTCACACAACCCTTTCTATCCTACTACTAAAGAAAAAATAAATTGTATTTAGAAGATGAACAAAGAAAGGTGTATGCTAAAAATCATTTAACAATAAATGGAAATAAAACGAAATTGTTAAAAGAAAAAAATGAAAATTGTTAAATAATATATTATTTTTTAGTCATAAGAATAAAAATATAGTAGTTATAAAAGGAATTAGACTTCATATATCAATTCTTTTTCTCTGTAGATGTGGAACGTTTGCTTTTCGATCTCTTTCGATGAACTTGAAAATATAAGTTATTATCGCTGAGAATCCTTTCCGAAATAGGAGCTTTACGTTTAGGAGGATTGTCGGATGAATTTTTTTTATTGTTTGATTTTGTTGTTATGGAAGATTTTTTCTTATTTTTTTCAGAATTTTGCTTGCTATTAACTGAAACTTGTTTTGACGGCCCAACAATAGCATTTGTAGTAGGAAGAATTCCCAATAACGAGCGCATTTTCGATAATTGTTTTTCAATATGATCAAGAAGGTCCAGCTTATGTTCTAGATTACTAGACATTTGATTTGTAGAAGGATGGTTTTGATTTTCTGGTTCTAAATCTGTAGAGTCTGCAATATTTGAATTTTCGGAGCGAATTGGAGCATCTGAACCTTGATTTGTATCGGCTTGCTCAAAATTAGTTTGAATTGGAGTGGATGAATTAAAATCTGGATGATTTAATGTTTCATTAAATAATGCCATAATTTTTTCTCTTTTTTCATTAATAAAC